ATATCTGAATAAGATGTAAGTATGTATTGTTCCATAGAAATTACTTATATATTCCAGCCCATTTATGCATTCCAGCGGGCGGCGCATGTAACAGAGAGGCCATCCAGATCCAAGTTTCTAAGCACACGATGCGGATAATGTTAGGGTGTCATTAGTTGTACTATTTGAGTTAGGATTTGTTAATCAGGAAATATAAATTGTAAAATACAATGGAAATAAGAAGGGAAAATTGGCTGTTCGCCTAGGATTGCAAATTGGATCAGGATTTCTCAACCAGAAAGTGCCATTACAATAACGAAATCGCATTAGTAAAGCTTAATTAATAAGCTTGATCAAGTAATTTCTTTGTTCAACTATAACCAACACTAATTAGGATTCCGAATCGAGTTAGGATTCCGCGTGCAGCTAGGTCTCGCTATTCCTCCTCTATTTAGGTCCTGCCTTTCTGATCTCCTTGGCTTCATAAGTTCGATCGCTATCATTCCCCCAACACGAAAGAGAAAAAAAGAAGAAGATCATGGCGGCATTGACGTTCGAAGACATCAAAGCCATCACCATCCCGAGATCAAAGCTAGCCAAGTGGTCGACCGAGCCCTTCTTCGACAAAATCATCGCAGGCTGCTTCGTTCGATTAGGCATGGGCCTGACTCGCTCCCGTCGTCCAACATACAAGCTCTGCATCGTCAGGAGCGTGGACGCCACAAGCCCAAATCGACGCTACACGTTCGAGAACCGCAGAACAAGTAAATGGCTCAACTGCGTGTGGGGCAGCGACGCCTCGGCAGCCAGGTGGCCCATGTCCATCGTTTCCAACGGTTCGACGCTCGAGGAGGAATTCAACGAGTTGGTTCACGAGATCAAGTGGACTGGAGGCACATTGCCGAGCTTGAAGGAGCGCAACGAGAAGGTCGAGTTGATTCTCAGGGTCGAGTGCTATTCGAGGCCACCGAAGGCTGTACTCGAAGAAATTGCAAAGAAGAAGAGAGAAAGGGCAGAGAGATTGGTAGAGATGAATAAGAGAAACAGGATTGAGAATTTCAAGATTGCGTCGGAGGCTAAGGCTGCTGATGTTAGCTTGAAGGCTGGGGACGAAGGGTATGATCCCTTCTCGAGGAGGTGGACGAGGCCAACGATCTTTTGCAAGTCGAAGTCGCAAGGGCAGAGGAAAGTTGAGACAGCATCTGCGGCCTCAACTGCAAACAGCGTATCAAGATTTTAGTTTTCTACAAAAAAGAACGCAGCAAACTTTCAGTCGATGTGTGTTTTTCTAAATATTGTTAATTAACTTCTTAATTTGCATGGTTAATCAAGCGTTTGTGAACAGTAAATTCTCTCGTCGTTGTAAACATTGCTATTCAATATTTGTCGGTGCGTACAAGCAGAAAAAACTCAAACCGATTTCTAGTCATTTCTCACCTCTCTAGCCCTCTGCAGGATTTTTCAATACCGGTCCCTCGCAATCTTAAATTTTTTAAGGTGGTCCCTCAAATCAGTTAAATTGTTATTTGGCCCCTACAAATCCTATTAGTGAAAACCCCATTTAATATCAAAACCCCTTAATTCCGTTATGTTTTCTGCCTAACTAATTTTACAACTCCAAAGAAGTTGGGAGGGATCGCGCGCCGCCCCCCCCCCCCCGCGGAATGACTAATTGAGGGTGGATTTGTAATTCCCCACGTATGGTTAACTAACAAATCCAATCCGAGTTAGCAATTTAGACAGAAAGGGGGGGGGGGGGGGGGGGGGGCTAATTTGTAATAACTAATGTGAATTGAGGGCTTAAATAGAGATTATATGATTTGAGGGACTAAGTATAAAATATTGAAGATTTCGTCTTTTGAGAAAAAGATGGTGTCGAAACAAAGAATTTAAAATGGAGTGCACCCAAAATAAGTGCTTATAAGCTAACTATATAATCATCAAAATATCATCAAAATGATTAAATGTAGAGTGGCACTAGGTGCACATCCCTAAGACTATCTTCAATGGTGTCCTATTTAATTGTCATTCCCAACATGCCACATAATATTCTCTCTCTTCCACATAATCAAGATCACCCCACAAACATTCACCATTTCCAATGGTGTCTTATTCATGTCTAATTTGGACCCCACTATCACTTCTAAATATTTAACTTTATTAAAAATAAAGAAATAACATTTTTTATTTTTAAAAAATAAATAAGAAAAGTGGATATTGATTTGTAGATAATTTTTTTTTATGAAAAATGATAATTTTTATGAAAAAATATATTTACAAATAAACTCTATATCTATAAATTACTAAAAAGAGGAAGAAAGAAAAAAAAGAAAAAAAAAAGACGAAAGCTTTTTTCAAACACCACGCGGATTTCCAGAAAAAGCATGGGCCCATGTTGAATTTGAGACCGTCTCGTTTATTTGAGACAATGAAGTCTCTCTCCATCCTTAGTGGCAAATAAGACAACAAATAGGATACTAGTGGGTGTCTCTTTCTAATTAACAAGACTCTATTGCTGAGAGTCTAACCACAATTTCAACAATATCCTCTTTTTTTTTTTGCTAGGGGCTGTTTGGTTCGCTATTATAAGAGGTGGAAAAGTGGGAAAACCCCTCCACGTCGGTTCTTTAGCCCTCCACGTCGGTTCTTGCGTTTCCGAAGTTTTCATTTCTCTGCTTTGTTTCGCTAGGGCTAAATAGAGAAACGATAGAGGAAATCGCCGCCACATCGATTTTTTTCCTCTCCCCCATTTCCCTCCCCATCGGAGTGAAATCATCGAAAACCAGCGCCACATCGGATTTTGGTTTCGTCGTTGATTTCTTTGTTGAGCTATAGTTACCCCCTTTGCTCTCCTCCCGCCAGAAACTCCCGCTGCTATCTTTGCCCTTGTATTCGAAGAAATTGGGGGAGGGTGGTCTGATCTTGTGCCGACGATATTCAGATCTGATCTTTCCGACGCTGTTGCTTCCAAAATCAAGGTAAAAATCCTTTTTTTTTTAATTTTTAGATTAATTTAGATCAATTTTGTGAGAAATTGGAGGAGGGTATTTGATCTTTGGGAGCCTGTTCAGATTTTCACGTTGTATTTGATTATTTTTTTGGAGATTTTAACTTTATGTGCATGCTATCTGAATAGTTGGATTTGTATCTTGGAATATTTCTACAGAAATATAATCTTATTTGTGAATGCTAATGGGAAGAATAAGCTTTAATACCTTTCTGCAAAAATACAATTCATGCATAAGTTGATACAACACAAGTAATTATTGAACAGTTACCTGAAACGTTACATCATTCTCAGTTATGTCAGCTAAATGCAACAATGAAACCTGAAAAGGAGAATAAATTTGACATTATGGATGTCAACGTCTCATTACACACCATATGCTCAAAGAGAACCAAGGTGATATGAACACATCTGATTCAACAAAACCCAGTCTTACTGAATACAAAGTACAAAGAGAACTCTGATAACTAGAGGCAAATATCTAATTTATGCTTGCATGTTATATTTCAGTGTGTCCATACATTCATGGGATTATGTTTATGGTTTTCTTGTCACTGTTAACAAATGTTTTATATATGTTGCTAAGGTCACGTATTTAGAAAATTCTTTTTTGACATTTTGGCAACTCATTTCATTCAATTGCTTTTGTGGTGCCTCTCACCTGATGCAATGTAACACCCTTAATATGATGTCTCTTTCACTGTCAAAAAACATTATCAATCGAATTTTTTGTATGAGGCATTTTGTTAATAATAGAGGATATGTTTGTTGTTTACCAAATTCTTTTAGCAGATCTGAACTTTTGCTTATCACATTAAGTTTCATTATGTTTTGTGCAATAGAGATTGTTCCTATATGACTTCTCGAAGTATTCTCCATGCAATTTGTTCAGATTTTGTAAGAATTCGACTTAGTTTCTAACCAAAAAAATGAATTTTTTCATCGTAGATGGATAATGATGGTGAATTTTGTAATATTTTCTTTCATTGTGTGAATATATTAGTGTACTAACCTTTAAATTATTCTTATGCCTGCAGGATATTTAAAAGTCACCATATAATTTCCTAAGATGTAAGCAACCTACAATGTGCACACATTGTACTGGATGGCTACTGCTCTAGGTATTTTGAGTAGTAAGTTTTTATGAAACGAGTCTACATTGGTGACTATTTACTTTAGGCTATGATGATTGTCAAAATTTCTGAGATTAGTAACCTGCAATATCAATTGATATTGCACTGGATGGCTAACAATGATGATATTGACTAGATTCTGAGCCCATTTCACTATTTTTCTTAGTGAGCTTAACAACCAGGAAATTTTATAAAATAACTTGTCATTGTTGGTATAGTATTTGTGTTTCCTGGTTCATTTTCTGTGGCTGGTTGGTGTATAATCTGGTTCATTTTTGTGTGGCTGGTTGGTGTATAATCTGGTTCATTTTTGTGTGGCTGGTTTTATATTCATGGTTGGTGTATCATGTTCATTGTTGGGTTTTTGGTTGCTGTGCTTGTCTGGGGGATTTTTGGTTGTGAGGATGCTACCCCTCTCTTCCTGTGTTATTTTTTGTTACATCTGTTGTTATTTCACTTGCTTATAATAACACATTGGAGATGAGGCTTGATTGGCTAGATATGAGCCTGTTTACCATGCCTTTTTCTCTAACTGTTGTTTTTTGTGGATCCTGTTTGTGAGCCTGGTTGTTACCATGCCTTTTTCTCTAACTGTTGTTTTTTGTGGATCTTGTTTGTGAGCCTGGTTGTGAGGATTTCATCAATCTCTTCATGATGTTATTTTTTGTTACGTATGATGTTATTTCACTTGCTTATAATAACACATTGGTGACTATTTACTTTAGGCTATGATGATTGTCAAAATTTCTGAGATTAGCAACCTGTAATATCACTTGATATTGCATTGGATGGCTAACAATGATGATATTGACTAGATTCTGAGCCCATTTCACTAATTTTCTAAGTGAGTATAGCAACCAAGAAATTTTATACGTTTCCTATTCATTGTTGGTGCGCGATGGTGTTTCCTGGTTCATTTTGTGTGACTGGTTGGTGTATAATCTATTTACATTTTTGTGTGGCTGGTTTTATATTCATGGTTGGTGTATAATGTTCATTGTTAGGTTTTTGGTTGCTTTTGTGCTTGTTTGGAGGATGCTGGTGGGTGTATCTTGTGAACTTGTTGTGGTTTGGTTTGCTGATTGTGAGCTTGGTTTTATATTGCTGGTTGTGAGCTTGGTTGTGGAGCCTGGTTGTGAGCCTGTTCAGATTTTGTGGATACTGGTTGTTTGGAGGTTGCATTTCTTTGTTTTGTATAGGTATGGAGATCCCTTTTGCTTTCCTTTCTAAGATTTCTTCCTTATTAAAATTATGAAATTCATGAGAAACTGACAACTTTAAAGAAGCAGTCCTTTCATGCACAAATTAGTTCCTTCGTTCAGATTTCAGGTACCAAAGCAGAACCCATATTCCCCTTTTAATTTCGATTCATTTTCATGATGTAATTATTAATATGTCATCATATATTTCTTTGCGCATTAAAACAGGTGAACTTTAAATCCTTTTACCACTTTCAAGTAAAAAATAATATTACTCAAGCAAAGTTGCAATTCCCTAATACAGTTACTAGAATATTAAGTTATTAACTATATATAATGCCATTTATGTTTTTGTTTTGTTTGGTTATGACTTGTGAGCACTTGCCGTGATGGTTGCGTGATTGGGAAATTCTTGATAGGAAAATCAAGCAAACTACGTGAAAATTCTGAGTCTTTTGATATCTTGTAAATGAATGTCATATCACGGATTAACTACTTTAATATTTTACCTTTATAATTAATTTTGTTTTGTTATGTGGTCTTACAGTAAAAGAAATTGTCTCAAAATTGGGCGAATACCTGAAGGATGACCCATGGTTGACTCTCTTATGTGGTCATTTAAAGTAAGTCGATGATTTAAACTCATTTTTGTAAGTAAAAGTATATATAGCAGTCGCTAAAAAGTGGCAGATTATTTGCGACTTCTGTTAGTTCCTGTACTCAGTCTTGCATGGATGAATTTGAACAAGAGTGTGCTGGTAACATCTCCTTTAGCATGTCTGTAACTGCTAGAAAGTCTTGTATGGATTGGTTCAGTTCAGTTTTTAGGGGTCTTGCATCAGATTTTGAGAAAAATATTATTCTTATGCCTGCAAGATATTTAAAAGTCACCATATAATTTCCTAAGATGTAAACAACCTACAATGTGCACATATTGTAATGGATGGCTATTGCTCTGGGTATTTTGTGTAGTAAGTTTTCATGAAACGAGTCTACAT